TTTTGCTTTGTCACAGTGTTTTAGATCGTTTTTTTCAGCCTGTTTTGTTTCCTTAAATGCCATATTTTGTTGTGCTTTTAGTTTTTTCTTGCACCACTGAAGTCAGTTTTCAAATATATTTCCACTTTGCAAAAGGGAAAACACTAGTAAAAATATACTTTAAACTAAAAAAAGATGCTAATAATAAGGAAAACTTTTTTTTTGGTGTGCGTGAATGTGTTGTTGTAGAAACTGAAAAGATGACAATCCCCATCTTTAATCAGAGTAGGAGGGACAGGATGTTCTCTAAAGAGCTTACATATTTGTTCAACCTGTCATGTACCATGGAATCAAAATAAACTCTCTAAGAATCAAGATAAGCCAATACTTGTGGGTTTCTCACAGCATCAACTGAGTCATCTGCAGCCAGGAAGCAATTCACAGCTGAGCACTTCCTTTAATTGGAGCACTTCAAAACTGCAGGGGATTTTTTTTTTCTTTATTTTGCCATCTAGCGGCCATTATTCACCATTACAAGCATCAATCGCCTCAAAATGCCTCTGGCTGAATTGATAAAACTTCATGAATTAAAACTAACTGTTGTTTTTTAGATTGAATCAGATGATACAGAAGTTAATAGCACTGGAAGCAGATTTATGCGCATCAACGTTGATGTACACGCGTGCTTCTTAGTGTGCATCATTATTCATGATGACCTTTCCACTGCGCTTCTGATAAAATGCTTTGAACATTTAGTGAAAAGTTCGAGTTCAGAGTACTGCTCTAAGTGATCTGCTGTGAGTTATTTTGTTTGACTGACCATGTCTTTGACTTTTAAAATTGCTCAAGGGATAAAAAGACTCCCACAGGAAGACACAGACAGGAAAGCCATATCTGATGAACTGGCCTCAGTTGCAATATTTATTCAGTTTTTTGTTATTCTTATTGGCAACTTTAGCTTCAGGGTGTAGCTGGTGGGTGGTAATAACCTTCCTGTTTGGCTCCAGCTACGAAGTTTGGTCTACAATCTGAAGCGAGTTATAATAAAACAATGTACTCTGCTAAGAATGGAATCTCCAGATATACGGTACATGTATACTGAGGCTATTACTAGAAAATAATTTAAATTGTGAAATTTTCTCTGGTTTGTGTCCTTTAAGTCAACAAACTCTACAGGAGGTTTGTTCAACTAAACCACTCAGGGTGCCACAGTTACTGAAAGCCAACTGCTAAGAGGCAGTATTTGTGGTCATTATATGAATTTATTTTATAATTATAAATCAGCTGTGTGTTGTTTTTTTTATTAATGAACTATTTGACAGGTGGACTGAGCTGTTTAGCCTAGCCCAGCCATATAATCTTAACAGGATGACCTCTCTGACAGAAATATGTCATTTCAGATTTTTAAAACATTTATATCCAAGACTTTTTTTTCTTATTTGAAATCTAGTTTTATTTTAAATAAACTCATTGGTAGGCCAGACTGATGTCACCTGTGAGCTGGATGTAACTCCTGCACCTCAGTTGAATAGCCCTGCTGTATTAACAAAACTTGGATGTGCAACACGGCTTGTTTAAAAAGTATATTCATTTTACGTTATACTATATGACCGAACGTAATAGCATGTAAATTAGTCTTAATACATTTAATTTAACATATACTCTAATCTATAACGGTCTTCAAAATTTGACAAAACATACAAAATTATATTTAGTACTTAATTATACTTAATTATAATTTTGGTGTTAAACAAAATTATTCAACTCATGTTCAGAGCGACAGAGAGAGGCCACTAAAAACTATAATATAGTAAATATGAAATTATATTAAAATATAAAAATGACATGTTTGACTTTTTTGTTGCATTCAGGACGCTGATAATCAAATCAGACTCAGCTGACCATCAAGTTGAATGATTTTCTGTTTTATTTATAAAATATGTTAGATACATTGTGGCTGTTTGTGCTACTAAATGCACAACTGCAAATTTATTGTGTTATGGTAAATTAATAAAACCTGTCTCAGAGTTTTGTACATTGCGAGAAAGTTACTTTCATTCTGAAGAATTTAAATAAGTTGTAGTGTTTTGTAAAAATATGCCATAACAAGCTATAGAAAAGCATTGAAAGTCAAAGGGTAATAAAACACAATAATCCAGAATACACAGAGTTTAGATTATAAAACAGTTTTACTGGACTTGGAGTTAGTAGATTGCAGAATAAATTATATGATTAAAAAAAAAAAATAATAATAATAACTGTTACCATAATCTTAACAGATAATAAAACAAAAAAAATAACCAATTTCTTCTGTTTATTGTCTAACTCTGTATCACAGTAGAAATATACTTTTTAAAATATATTACCAAGTTTTAATAGTGTAGCTTTTAATGGTTTTGCTTGAGAAGCATATTTGAAAAACGAGGAAGAAGAACAATCTCCCATGCTTCTCCACAACTTAATAAAAACATGTTTTTCTGTTTTCTTATTTTTGATTACATGGTAATGAGCTCAACAATACTTAAACAATTATCAGTTTACTTCCTTATACTACATAAATTATATAACAGCAATTATAAAATAAATAATCATTGATATTACTTTTCTAGAAACATACAAACATTATCAAATGATAATCGTGCTCATTCTTTATCCTTATATCTTATAAAAAATTGTGATTTTTCTCACCTACAAAGCTCTCAACAACCTAGCTCCATCTTATATTCAAAATCTTATTGTTCCATATTTTCCTAACAGTGCCCTTCACTCAGACTGCAGGCTTACTCGCGGTCCCTAGAGTTTCCAGAAGCAGAATGGGAGGAAGGCTCCTCTCTTGTGGAACCAACTTCCAGTGCCCTGAGATAACTTCTGTTGTGACTTGGTGCTATATAAATGATATAAATAAACTGAACTGAACTGAATTTTATACCTTTCCTTAAAATGTTTCATGTTTGGGCATTCCTTGAGTTCCACATTCAAAGAGTGAGTTAGGGTTTTAGTATCGCATTTGCTCAGAATTGTTGCATCTTTATCAAGTTCAGTTTGTACCTGTACTCAGTTGGACAAACTTTATATTGTATCCTTCCACTTTCAAGAATGTGAACTTGGCCTAAACCATTTTAACCTAGTGTCAACGTACTGCAGTCTGGAAAGACGACCCTCTCCACCTCCCCTTTTTAATCAACAACAAACCACGTTTTACGTTAAATTACAGCTCCGCTGCTGAACTGAATCCTTCCTGCAAGCCACCACATTGTCTAAAAAACTGTTTATGTTGTTTTTTGGGTTCTTTTGTAACAATTGTTGTGTTTTCTGTGTTGACTTCCTTTCTATATGTCATTTTTAGTCTTTTTTCCCCCCAGTGTTCTTCTATGCTACCAACCATGACTCCCAGTGCTTTCCACAGTTGGTCCTTGCTCCTCAGTCCTGCCATGCCCATCATCACTTGCTCACAGCTGCAGCCAGTCCTCCTCGTTACCCCAGCCTCTTTACTCCACTTAACTGAGCTTTGTTGTCTTTTGTGCCACATCCCATCTTCCTCGTGCCGCCCTATTGGGCGAATGCTACAAGCATTCACTCGGTTACTAATTATTCAATTGTGTGAAAGCATTCACACAATTGAGATCCATTTGTCATCTTTATGTTTTTGGGCGTGTAAATTGTTCAGCAACATTTGTGCTATTTCAACAATTTATATATCAAAACATCAGTCCAATTCAGTTTGTTTATATAGTGCCAAGTCAATCGCACCCAGCTCATTCAGGACATGACTTTTCATATTTGTGCAATTTATTTATTTTTTAATGTTTAGCTTTGTTTGCCATGTTTTTCTCATTGAATTTTAAAAAAAAATGAATGGAGCTCTCTTTACATCCTTCAGATCATGTGTGCAGATTAACATATGTTGCTGTTTATTTCAGCTTTTGTTCTGGATCAGCTCCTTTCAGCTTCTTTATGCTAATTTCAGCTTTTTGTTGTCTTTTCAGCTTCTTTCTGTTCAGTTAAGCTTTTTCCCCCATTTTTTCAGCTACTTTTTTGTAATCTATTCAGCCTCTCTGGCTATTTAAGCTAATTTCTGCAATGTTCAGCTTTTCTGCGCATTTCTGCCATTTTTCAACTGCTTTTTGTTTTTGTTTTCGTGCTTTCAGCAATGTCAGCTGTCCAAATTTAACTCATCTTAACAGTTAAAGGATGACACCTTGCAGCCTGGTTTCAACTTCAGTACCTTTACACAAAAATTATTCAACAACAAGTTTTTACACTACAATTTACTTTGTACACAAGAAATGCAATTTCTCAAGTTCTTTGTACCTCGTTGTGCAATCCTATAGATTTGTACTTTTTGCTGCCTTGTCAGCGTTTTGTTTTCTTAGTAGACGAGTTTTATGTTTGGGAGCTCCTTGTCAGGCTGCACCCTTGGGTCCAACCACCTCCATTCACCACAACAGATTCATGCTGCCTCTGCTTCATGCACATAGAAAATAATATTTGCATCTTTTAAGCATTTTTGCACCAAATTTATTCATTTTTCATATTTTGCACAATTTCATCATTTATATAGTTGCACAATTTTATTATTTATATAGTTATGAATGAAATTTTAACATTGTCTTGATATAATCTATCTATCTATCTATCTATCTATCTATCTATCTATCTATCTATC